CAGATGAAACAACTGCTGAAGGTGTAATACCACCATTGAATTTCCCTTATTAGTTTTTGTTAAATTTGCACTTTTCAAAAAATTGTGCAGAATTTATCTTTGTTTCAAGTAAAGAAATACTTGGCATGAGCATTATTCTGTCCAGTACTATAAACAAAATTTCACATAACATTTCATTCCATATATATAAGAAAATAACCATTACTGGAAGTTAACCAATCAAATTTTCAACTCTTATTTACCTGTGTTCAAGCTTTAGTAACCATGTAACCTCAAGTTTCCAAAATATTCTATAGAAATCCCAAATAAAAAAATAATGATGCTTTGAAATACCCAAGATATATATTTATGACCCAGAAATTTTTTACTGCAATGAAATGAAGGATTAACAAGTGAAACTGTCAGCTACTGCTCACTGAAGATACCCAAGCCGCAATTGGATAATTTTAATAGTGGAAAAATATGCGAGTTTTCGGTAAAAAGTAAGTTGTTGAGTGATGAATCTGAAAACGCATCACACGGTATAGCTGACTCATATAAACCCTGAAACCAAGTTTCAGAAATCCTTGTAATGTAGTAATGTAGTTCCTGGGAAAAATGCGGCGTAAATTTTCAACTTGGGTGTCATGACTTGTGTAAAATGATGTCAGTGTTCGGTAAAAAGGAAGTTGTTGGGAGATGAATCTGAAAATGCATCACATGGTATAGCTGACTCATATAAACCCTGAAACCAAATTTCAGAAATCTTTGTATTGTAGTTCCTGAGAAAAAATGAAAAAAATTTCAACTTGGATGTCATGTGTAAAATGATGTCAGTGTTCGGTAAAAAGGAAGTGGTTGAGGGATGAATCTGAAAACGCATCACACTGTGTAGCTGACTCATATAAACCCTGAAACCAAAGGACAAGGTACACTAAGGGCCTTATATGGTCCCTTTTTTGTCACAAAATCATTTTCATGACATAAATGAACTGAGCATCAGAAAAGATTTCTATGTATCTGTTCTTCAGTAGCACATGCGTATTTTATCTTCATGAAAACAGAAACCTGATTTTGGGTCGCTTAAAGTGTGTTGATAGCGTCAAAATATAGAAATTGTAGTTGATTTTTGGACTGCAATCCTTCGTTTTAAAAGGCCTCCGCCAACGTGAGCCACAGTAATAATTAGTGATAAAGATGGTATACAAACAGGGTTTCCCAAATAAGAAAAGAAATAATTACACCTTAAAATCCCTAAAACTTAACATGATCAAGCTACAGACCTAATTTAAAATCATTCCTTTCAATAGTTTTGACCGAATTTGACCATAACTTTCCTTGCACATGTGTTTTATAAATTTTCTAAATATCTGGAAACAGGTAGTGGCTTAACTACAAATGTCAAAGGAGTATGTTCAATAACACCCTAAAACGATCCCTATTTCTAGCTACAATTATAAATTAGGATTTAATGACCAATATCACAATGAATCATAGCTAATACAATGACTATATAGAAAATATGTCTTTTTGTTGAAAATTTACGTACTTGCTTTCTATTCATGATGTCACAAATATCACTCATTTTGATTTTGACCAAAAATTCAATGAAAACGGGTCAATTTCCAATGATTTTTTGGACAGGAAACATAAAGCTCATGCGTCAACAAAAAAGCTTTTTAACAAAATATTTGTTATCACATTTTACATATCTGACTTGAATATTAAGTTTGTCGACGCCTGTGCTCTAAGTTTCCTAGGCCATAATTTGGTTGAAATTTTGACAATTTTGTTAAATTTCGCAAAAATCTCTATTTTGATCTTTACAGGATGTAAAAATCAACGCTTTTAAACTAGAACTTTAACAAAAAAGTTCTATTCAACTTTCTCACGTGTCTTTTTATCACTTTAAAACATTTATTGTCTTGAAACATTGAACATAATAATCGGGGCCAAATATGACCCTTACTAAACTTACTTCTTTGCTAACACGGTAAAAAATAACATTATCAGGCTGCAGACCAAATATAACCTTATTTCCATGGATAGATTGCTAAGAAAAACTTTCACAATTGGCAATGCAGGTAAAAAGTTCTAAATGACTTAAATGCAGACTTTTTAATATGAACTATGTTCATAATTTCACATTATATGCAAATTTGTTAATATAAAAAACAATATTCAACTGTAAACTTTTATTGTATTCAACAGTGGTCTGTTTTGCTGCTTTTAAAGCAACACCACTAGGCACATAGTCAAAACAACTGCTAGTTTGGTTACATTTACTTGATAACAAGGCACACAATATATCATTGTCGAGTTCTGGTCAGAATTCAGGGTAAATTTCTTTATAATTGAAAATGATCTCTCACAGTCAGAATTGATATTTGGCTGAACTATAATAGCTTCATGAAGCTTTGAAAGAGTGTCATAATGTTTTTTTTTGCCATCTAAAATGTCATCTATGATCTCTGCATATTGCTCCCAACAAACTATACAATATATGTTGCTATTGCCTGGTCAAAGCTGGGTAGTTCATCAGAAGACAGCTAATACTATGAGAACTGATCCAACAGTTCCGTGATATTTCCATCCCTTATGGCCTGTGGAAATCTGTTGGCTACATTTTAAACTGAAAAAGAAAAATATTTTATAATTGTTAAATGCTTAATCAAATAGCTATGTATTTTAGTTCTCCTCTCATATGTATTGTTATGATTGCAACATAGAGTGCACAATGCGTTACTCATCCCTCAATGATTTAAAATCGAACTCCCAAATATAATTTATAAATCTTGGTACGTACACATCGTTTTCGCTTAGAAATCGGCTCTATAGACAACGGCACAGGTCCTGAAAGCTACCTCTTTCTGTGGACATTTCCCCTAAGTGAATTTGAAAGAAAGAAAGTCCCAAAATTGTAAAAACTAATCACAAACTACTTACCTTGAGAGCTTTTGCTGTTCGTCCATATAGAAAAATAAACAATGGCCAGATAACAATTACTTAGCCTGGGATCCTGGCCAACTGTTTGACATCGACGAAGTATTAGATTTGGTCAGGATGCCAGGCTAAACAATTACTTCGAAATTTCGGTATTTATCGTGTTATAATGAAAAAACCCGAGAATCGCGATATCACTAACAACCTAAAAATCATAACGAAAAAGCGTGTAATTACGTGTAAAGTGGTGAAAAGCGTGTACACGCCATGTGATAAAATCCTCGCGTGTAAACCGTTGAAAAAGCGTGTATTACACGCGAATATCATGTCAGTTGGCAACTATGGTCATAAGGAGTATTCATGCCATGTTTTATTCCATTCCATTCAGTGGTTCTTTAAAAGAAGACATTTGTATGTATTTCCCATAGGGTCCTATGTTAAACTAAGTCCCTCTCTGGCGTCCATCTTGGATGATGGATCAGTTTCAAAGTAATAACACTTGGTCAGCACCTGAAAAGGAACATTTTTGCCATGTTTGGTTCCATTCCATTCCTTGTTCTCTTAAAGAAGACATTTGTATGTATTGTCCATAGGGTCGATGTTAAACAAAGTACCCTACTGGTGGCCATCTTGGAAGATGGATCAGCTACAAAGTAACAACACTTGGTCAGCACCTCATAAGGAATATTCATGCCATGTTTGGTTTCATTCCATTCAGTGGATCTATAAAAGAAGACATTTGTATGTATTGTCCATATGGTCCTATGTTAAACAAAGTCCCACCCTGGTGGCCATATTGGATGTTTGATCGCCTACAATGTAACAACACTTGGTCAGCACATCATAAGGAATATTCATGCAATGTTTGGTTTCATTCCATTCAGTGGTTCTCTAGAAGAAGTTCAAAATATAAAAAGTTAACGACGACAACGAAGATGGACAATTACAACAGACAAGGACAGACAACAGGTGCCAAGTAATGAGAAAAGCTCACTTGGCCTTTTAGACCAGGTGAGCTAAAAACCAAGCCATAATTATGAAAAAATAATAAAGTTACACATTATTTGATATATGCTCTTATAAGCAGACTTCATAAGAACCAACTCCGACCTGTTGGTCCTAACGTTGACAAAATTTAAAGACGTCTGCCAATTTCACAATTGAGCCTGTCTGTTTGTACGACTGCTATCATACAAAAGGCCTTTTGGGTCACTGGGGTTACTTCTACCAACATTTTGTAGTTTGTCAAATCATTGGACACTTGTTTTTTGTTTTACTTTTACTTATTGAGGTCAGAAATCATATTACTTAAATAAGGATGATTGTGTCTGACAAAACTTGTTATAAGGATCTATATTTCAATGATGTTCTCTAAACATTTAAACTTTTTAGCAAAACATATTTAACTGAAAAATAAAACGAAAATTTCATGTGAATAAATTTTGAAAATGGTATATTGATAAAATTTGTTGATTTTATTATAAGAAATATTAAACATACTTTTTGTCTCTTCAGGTTGGATTAAACCATCTGCCACCCTGAGATCAGGACCTTCAGGTGAACAAGATTTACCTAAAATAAATACAAATCATTCTGAAAACAGATAATTATGTGTAAAAAGGGTTAATTTAAAGTGAAATTTAAAACGAATTTAAATTGAAGGTTATTGACTAAACAAAAATTATTGTCTGATCAATGTAAAAGTTCAGGTGTTGGACCATTAACAAAACAAATACTCAGTCTGGACCTTGGTCTCTACGTGCAATCAATTGAAATAACATGTGAGCCAAACTGATCATTCCCTTTCATTGAACAATGAGTAATGTGAAATTTTCAACAGTCTGCAAAAAGGAAGTGGCTTACATGACAGGTAAAAAAAAATTGCTGAAACACTCAAGTTCAACATTATCAAGCTACAGAGTTTTGACAAAATTTGACAAAAAAATTTCCCTTGTTTCTAGCTTATTGTACTCTATAGTCCAACCCTATCTGGCAGGTTCAATTTTGGAGAATAAAGCTGCTGACTATACAAGCCTGAATTCGTTGGTGGTGTTAAAAACTTTGCCTCTACGCATTTTTCACAGGGTCTTACCCTTTTGATTTGGCAGTCCTACTACAAATCTTCCTCCTATAAGACAATACACAAAAAATCAATTAGTTTTCAATTCTATAATTTTTTAATTATATGATGAATGACAGCTGAAAGATTTACTTGTTGACAAAATATTTTTGTATACATAATAATTAGATATTTGGGCCATCTTTTAGTCCTCCTTTTAATATGTATACTATCTGACACTGAATAATTGGTGTAAATGAAGAAATGTATATGGAAAGGGTTGGTGTTTAATGTCTAGTGGAAAACATAACATGCATATGGGATGAAAACATGTAAATGTGAATCACTGCTTAGAACAAGATAGACATGCTGAGTCAAAATTTCAACAATAGTATTTCCCAAACTACCAGTCAACATGAAATATGCAACCCAACCCAGAACATTTCAATTAATTGGTTTGACACAGTTCAGGATAGAACCCAAATCCTCCCACACACGCCAGGCAAACTGCCACCACAAGACTATTCAGGCAGTCCACAAGGAAAGGCTCTTCATTTTTATGGATGGCAGAGATGACAAAATATCACACAGTACAAAGTTAGTAGAACTTTCCTAATCTATCAAAAGCTAGATTGAAAACTGTGAAGTCATGCATTAGATAAACCATAAAAGTGAATTTTCACTTGAACTTGCATTGGTCTATAGTATGTTGTGAATAGTGATTTTATTTCTAACCGTACTTTAACTGAATGGTCTCAGAACTTTGAACATTCTATTGAAAGGTAAACCATTTTACATACCAAAAATTAATACTTACTTTTCAGTTCTGATATTGAAAACTTTTTCAAACTGACATAACACTTCTTTGTCATCTGAAAATATTATTTTTGAAATTATTTCCAGTCTGAATAAGGTATATAATTGGTTAACTGGCAAATTCCATTAAACTTAGTTTAAGCATACATATCCATAAACCAATCTTACGACTAAGGCCATCCAAAATGTGTTTGTGCCTGGACATAAATTTTCTTGAAAATAGGCCTCATAAGCAACATAATTTTCAAGAAATCTTATATAAGACTGATTTTTAGGCTTTTCAGTCAAAACGTTTTTATTGCAGACTCTTTACACAGAATATAAATAAAACAAGAATGTATCCATAGTACATGGATGCCACACTCGCACTATCATTTTCAATTTTCAGTGGACCATGCAATTGGGGTCAAGACTCTAATTTGGCATTAAAATTAGAAAGATCATATCATAGAGAACATGTGTACTAAGTTTCAAGTTGATTGGACTCCAACTTCATCAAAAACTACCATGACCAAAAACTTGAACCAAAAACTTTAACCTGAAACGGGACAGACGGATGGACGAAAGAATGAACGAACTGAGTGAGGAAAGGATGAACGAAAGGACACAGACCAAAAAACATAATGCCCCTAAGTGGAGAATAACAAAATAAGAGGTACACATCAATAACATAGCAATGCATCTGCACAAGCAAAAACATTTATAAGATATAGACTGAGAAAATCCTTATGATCTTCATTTATGATGTCTTTTATTTTGAATGATTTAGTTTTCATTTTTTAACATCTTAATTTTGATTATCTGATTGTTGTGTTTTTGTTTCTTAACCAATAAACACAACAACTAATCCTATATATATATTAATGTTTTTGTCCAATTAGTCAAAATGATATGCAAGGCCAGATTGAATTCACCTCAACATGGTCAGTACTTCAGCTTGCTGTCAGTAGTTCAAAGTCTTCTTTGACACAATATTTTTCAAACAAGTGTATTTCTTGTACTTTTGGTTTTACTTGAAATGTACCATTTCTTATTCAACAGTTCCAAATTATAAAGGACAGCTGAGACTCAGATCTCAAAAAGTTAGGTAGTTGATCATGTACCAAACGTTTGTCTTATGAATGTCTATAAACCAAATCCCTGTTACTTGTTGTCTTTTGTTATCTAAATAACTTTGTCATTGAGGGAATTTTATACACATTGTTGTCAATTTAATGGAATTTTATGCAACTGTCATACAAGTAAGAGGTTTAGCTAGCTATAAAACCAGGTTTAATCCATTATTTTTTACATGAGAAAATGCCTGTACCAAAGTCAGGAATATAACAGTTATTTTCCATTCCTTTGATGTGTTTGAGCTTTTGATTTTGCCATTTGATAAGGGACTTTCCTTTTTGAATTTTCCTTGGAGTTTGGTATTTTTGTTATATACTTTTTGTTATGGAAGATTAATTTTAACTTTATAAAAGTTGTTGTCTTACTTGAAGTTTCGAAGATTGCTCATGGACAGTACACAAAGAGTCTTCCAACATGTTTGGAGTTCTTGGTTCACCTATTTAATTCAAATATAGAATTGTAAGCATATGATATTGCAAATGTTTAAAGGCAATCTGTAAATTTAGGCATAACAGAAGGCAAAACTATTACACTCTACTGGTAAATATTATGTGTCACTGACGATGACTATATATAGCATGTAAGAAAAAAGTAAAAACTATAACCTACAAGATAAAGACTATCATAGCAACATTGCATCCATCTGCCAATGAAAATTACATAATACAGATATTCACAATATAGAGAATTCTGACTTGAAATCTAGAAGTGAATTTAAATATTATAGTCAAATTAGAAATTATACAATCAGGAAAAGAACTATTTTAGCAGCAAATCATTTTGCCCTTTTTGAAAGGACAAGAAGTGACCTCTTACAGAAAGCACATATATATTTTTTTTTTCTTTTTTAAAGGTTCCACCTAAATAATCCTCATTGCTCATAGTCTATAAGGGTGTGATAAACTCAGATTAACTCATAACATGAAAACATGCAGAGAAAATTTACAACAGATAGATCTCAACTAGATTAACATTTTTACCCCATGTCAGATTTACTCTAAATGCTTTAATTTCAGATATGTAAGCCAAAAACTGTATTTCACCCTTATATTCTATTTTTATGGGCCATGTTGATAGGCAGGCAGGGTCATCGGACACATTTTTTCAACTAAATACCCTAATGATTAATGTGGCCAAGTTTGGTTAAATTTGGCCCAGTAAGTTACAGAGGAGAAGATTTTTGTAAAAGTTAATGGACGACGGACGACGACGGATGTCAAGTGATGAGAAAAGCTCACAATGGGCCAGATGAGCTAACAAATCGTGGTACTATCATATAGAATCATCAAAATATCTAAATGAACAGCAGACCAGAAATGATTTCCAGTATTCACTTCATCCTACAATAGCCTTTTCTTTATTCTATAATCAGGATAATGGTAGGTTTCTTAATGACTTTAAATCATCGGAAAAGGAACACAGTAGTCCATTTTATTATAATTGCATGAATTTAAAGTGAGATTTTAACAGAGAGCGCCTAGTTTTCTTCTTCTTATTCTTCATAATTAAGGTATGAAATATTCCATCGACATCTGATGACCACATACTGTTGCATATGTGGACTATATATAAAATTTACCCCAATTTAAACAGAAAATAAATATTTATAGTACAATGAAAATAACAACCTTGATACTATAAACATTCTAACTTTATGTTATTAAATAATAGTACAGAGAACAGTAAGAGGGAGCTTTTGTCTGACGTTATTAACTGATGGTGCCTGAACAAGTACCACAGGAGCTGATTCCACTCACAGTGACACAATGCAAATGATTAGAAGGGACCATCAGAGAAATATGGGGAATAATGAAATCAAAGTTATTTGTTAATTTGTTCATATTCAAACACTTCTTATTTGACTCAATTTCAAATTTAGAATTTTGTGGAAGACATTTATTATGGATTGCCATGTCCAAGGATAAAAAGCCTTTTTTTAAATGTTTTTCGTTAAGCAATTGCTGTATCATTGCTAGGCTGTTATAAGCATCTAGTACACTAAATCTAAGGGTCACCATTCATTTGTCCCGTAATTAGGCTTGTATAGTTTGCACTGGTACATTATCCGAACCCCCCTTCTCGCCATGAAATTTCAGGTAAAACAAGTGAAACTGTGAGCTACTGCTCACTGATGATACCCCCGCCCAAATACTTGACGGTAAACAGGAAGTTGTTGAGTGATGAATCTGAAAACACATCACATGGTATAGCTGATTTATATAAACCCTGAAACCAAATTTCAGAAATCCTTGTAATGTAGTTCCTGAGAAAAATTGGACGAACATTTTTCAACTTGGATGTCATTTGTACAATGATGTAAGTGTTCTGTAAATAGGAAGTTGTTGAGTGATGAATCTGAAAACGCATCACACGGTATAGCTGACTTATACAAACCCTGAAACCAACTTTCTGAAATCCTTGTAATGTCGTTCCTTAGAAAAATGAGACGAAAAATTATTCATGGGACGGACGGACGGACGGACTGACGGATGGATGGATGGATGGACTGACTGATGGACGGACGGATGGACAGACAGAGGTAAAACAGTATACCCCCACTTTTTTAAACCTGGGTATAAACTCTGAACTGTTACAAAATGTCTGATGAAACTCCAGTAATTTCAAATCTTGTGTGGTAATTTGTGGTATCGTTTTCCATCATCAAACAGAAGTTGAAACTGCTTGTAAATGGTTCTAGAACACTTCACAATTGTCATGATTGTTAAAATAAGTCAATATCACACAAAAAGCAATTTAGAAACTTGTGTATATTTAAACCAGAAGTTTGAATAGCTCATGTAAAAGAAAATAAATACGGTGAGAGTGTACGGAAAAATCTGTATTTAATAGATATCACTAGAATACGACTTTAAAAGTAAAACAGTTCCATTCTTGTGTAAAACAATGTTTAATATTTATATAACACTGATGTTTGAAGGATTTTAAGCTAATACAAAACACAGATTCCAGTTTATTTTAAGCAATGCAGTGAAAGAAACAAGAAATTTGTAGTGAAGCATTTAGTTTTTAAATTTATCAGTTTTAACTTGATATTGAATGAAAATAACATATTAATATGGATAAGGTAAATTATTAGTTTTGAAAATGATAATAGCGCCCTCTACAATAATAATAACAAACATGGCAGAACGTAAACAAACCATCTCGCGAAATAGAATTTTTCTATTATTTCTTGCTTATTGCACTCTATGGTTCGCACCCCTGTATGGCAGGTTCATTTTTTGGAGAATAAAACTGTGGACTATACAAGCCTTTATTCGGAAGCTTTGAATTCTTCTTAAACAAACAATATTATTTTGTTTTGTTCTAATTTTGTACTAATAAAGCAATTAATATGTGATAATCTTTGTATCTAATAAAAACTGTTGCTAGGCAACCTTTCTTTTAACAGGAGCACAATAGTTTTTTTTCTTCAAGTAACTTAGGGCATTGACCATCAATGATATAAACATTAACTTACTTGGAGAGGGCTAAAAGTGACCCTAATCATACCTTGTCCTTTACTGATTGACAATTAGTAATGGCACACAAACTATTATGCAATAAATATGTCATAATTAAGGATCATTTAAGCCATGGTTTAATGTAGATACATATTTATTTAGTCCATGAATCAGAATCATGTGCATTCGTATCAAGAAATTTTCAAAAAATCATGAGTTTTGGGATAATATAAGTCTCCAAGAATATTGCTTTACATAGCAAATTAGACAAGACTGCCTTAAATGCAAACCATTATTCCCGTTGGGGCAGTAGGCGACTATTAAATTATGGACAACAGAAAACAAATAAAGACAAATTTAGCTGAATGATAGATACCTTTATCATGTGAAGCTTTAACTGTCTTCAAGCTATTCTTGTCAGACTGGAAAAGAAAAATCAATTCAATGTAGCCTACAAGAATCTTGCATCACTTATCAGGCATCTATACAATTCACAACTACATATTTTTTCTCTTCCCCATAAATAACATTAGCCCGTTATTCAGTTGTTGTCTTTGGTTACTGTTTATTATATTTGTTGTTATTCATTTTTTTAGGATAAATCATGCTGTTGCATGGTAATCTCGTTTGAATGTTTACATTTTTATTTGTCTTACTATAAGGTATGCATGGATTTCGCTCAATGTTGATTGCAGTAATATGAGTTAACATGACCTACAATTTCTTAAATCCAAGTCTTTTGGTTCCAGTGGATAGTTGTCTCAATGGCAATCAAACAATGTCTCCTTATTTTCATACAATTGCTTACGAAATGGGACATTAAAAAAAACCATAAAAACACAACAATTGTTTTTATAAATTCCTCCTAAATGATGCTTCAGATAAAATCAAGTCTCTTTGTTTCTTGCTTTAATATGTGTAGTATTGTGAATTTTTGAGGACAGTTTTTTGTGGATTTTGTGGGTACAGATGAATAGTTAATTCAAATGTTCAACAAAGTATAAATTTCTCTTAGGATTGTATGCAAACTTTAAAGATTATCCCAAAGTCTGCATCAGCAGAGGAAAAATTTAGCATAACTAACAAAATATGAAAAATGTAAATCATAATGCAATTGGCCTGGTTGAGCAATTTTCATCAATAAAGCCATTTCTTAATCAATCAAGGACTATTACATCAGATCAACAACAGTGATAAACGCACAGATATGTCTCGCTTTTTTGTTATTTTTGTTGTAAAATGCAAATGTTGAAATCAAAATAGCAATACCTTAACATGTAAGATATGCAAAATATTCAGAGTCAATGAAAAAAGGTACAGGGCCAAACAATCTCCATGAAAATGAGATGTGTCAATGCTAATACAAGTGCATACCATATTATTGACCTTCCACTAGTGGTTCCCCATAAACTGACCTAATCACAAACTAATACATGCAAACTAACCAAAAGTTTCAAAGTCAATAGACCATGATTGAGGGGCGTGGTCAAATAATCTCCATGGAAATGAGGTGATGTGCCAATTCTAATACAACTACAAACCAAATATCATTAACCTTCCACCATTGGTTCCCCATAAACTGACCTAATCACAAACTAATATGTGTAAACTAAGCAAATGTTTCAAAGCCAACAGACCATGACTGAGGGGGCTGGGCCAAATAATAGACAAAGAAATGAGATGTGACAATGCTAATACAACTGCACACCAAATATCATTGACCTACCACCAGTTGTTCTACATAAACTGACCTAATCACAAACTAAAACATTGCTGATGCCACCGATGAAAGCGCTGTTTGAAACAGCATACCAGGTCTTGCTATAAGTCTTGCTTTTTTACTACATCATGTACATTAAGGTGATACACACATTATTAAAATGGAACTTGACCACCATTTTCTAATCAGTAACAACATAAAAAAAAATTTAATCATTGATTGATGTTTTATCAAGTGATCATTATCATAAACAGCTGGAGCAACCTGGCCAAAAAACCTGCTGACACTGCTGTAAATGTATTACCCCAAATAAATGACCAGTGCTGTACATGTATTACCCCAAATTAATGACCAGTGCTGTACATGTATTACCCCAAATTAATAACCAGTGCTGTACATGTATGACCCCAAATTAATAACCAGTGCTGTACGTGTATTGCCACAAATTAATAACCAGTGCTATACATGTATTACCCCAAATTAATAACCAGTGCTGTACATGTATTACCCCAAATTAATAACTAGTGCTGTACATGTATGACCTCATATTAATAACCAGTGCTGTACATGTATTACCCCAAATTAATACCTAGTGCTGTACATGTATGACCCCAAATTAATAACCAGTGCTGTACATGTATGACCCCAAATTAATAACCAGTGCTGTACGTGTATTGCCACAAATTAATAACCAGTGCTGTACATGTATTACCCCAAATTAATAACCAGTGCTGTACATGTATTACCCCAAATTAATAACTAGTGCTGTACATGTATGACCCCAAATTAATAACCAGTGCTGTACATGTATTACCCCAAATTAATACCTAGTGCTGTACATGTATGACCCCAAATTAATAACCAGTGCTGTACATGTATGACCCCAAATTAATAACCAGTGCTGTACGTGTATTGCCACAAATTAATAACCAGTGCTGTACATGTATTACCCCAAATTAATAACCAGTGCTGTACATGTATTACCCCAAATTAATAACTAGTGCTGTACATGTATGACCCCCAAATTAATAACCTGTGCTGTACATGTATTACCCCAAATTAATAACCAGTTTTTAGTTTGTTTGAAAACCAAATAAATTTGACAAGGCCTCTTTTAAACATATAAATGGTATTAGTAAAAATCAAAATGGATCATCAACAATAACTCATATCATAATATAATTCAAATAAATTCAGTCATTTAAAATGTTAGAAAAATGTTTAAAAATCAAGCTTACATTTGTTGTTTTGGACTTTTTTCTCCATGGCAGGTTTTTAGATTGATCCCCATAATCGTAGCGTAACTCCTCTCCCCTGACTATTTCTTTGAGGGCAAATAATGCCAAATGGGGATTACCATCCACATGAATACGCCTCATAATAGAATTTTTTTCTCTGCCAACGCCATCATTGACATACCTGCCCATTAATTTTGAATTTGTAGCATCAATGCTGAAAAATGAAATTTCACAATAAACATTCATTGTCAATGATCAATTAGCAGTTTTGTAAAGCCTGTCATGGCATATTATACAATATTGTACAATTAGTAGTAAATTGATCAAAATATACAAGAGCTAGTACCGGACATGAAAAATACCTGTGTCAATGCAGATGTTAGCATCCATATGTCACCCTACAGCCTTCAACAATGACCAAAACCCAAAACATGACAAAAAATGTAAAAAATATCAAAAGAATCAACTGTTGACACAGATATGTGTCTCACCTTTTTGAAATTTTGATAGTATAATAAAAATATTGAAATTAAAATGGAAATATCATGTACCCTATGCAAAACAATCAAATTCAATGAACCATGGTTGAAAGTGCTGGTGCAAACTATTCAAATACATGTAATGCAAGCAAATGTTTTAAAGCCATTAGACAATAACTGAGGGGTATTGAGCCAAATATTCACCATTGATATTTGATGTGCCAATGCTTATACATCTGTATACCAAATATCAATAACTTACATCAAGTGGTTCCCCTTAAACTGACCTAATCATATCATAGTATCAAAGAAACAGACTTAACCAGAAAAAACTATAAACATTGACCAATGAACCATGAAAATGAAGTCAAGATCAGAGAATCCTACCAAACAGACAGACATCATGTCCTTTTTTCCATATGTACACCTTACAATCATTACATACACCAAATATAGTTGACCTATTGCTTATTCTTGTATCTGAGATTAGGACCAAATTTCAGAAACTTAACATTGACCAATGCTACAGTTGACACAAAAAAAAATGATCATGCTGCACAGAATGTTTTTGAAACAATGGAGAACTAGACATCATTGAGATGGGAGCCATCTTTGTGGTCCCCGCTGTAAATAACCTGTGGTAAAAAATTTGTATCTTTACCAAAGGACATGGGGTTGTGAACTGAAACCAAAGTTTTTGAGCTTGACCTTTGACCTAGGAAGTTGTAAATACATTATGACACACCCTCTGGTAGTGGTAAATATACATGTCAAGTATAAACTTTGAAATCATAACGGTTGTCAAGATATAGAGCGGACACGATCTTTACCATAGGACATGGGGTTGTCAACTGAAACCAAAGTTTTTGACCTTGACCTTTGACCTTGGAAGTTGTACATACATTATGACACACCTTCTAGTGTTGGTTAATATATATGTCAAGTATCTATAATATTATATGAGAAGACCTCATTTTGTGTGTTGCTTTCCAAGATAAATTAATCATCATGCCTCTGTGTCCCATAGGTATCATGCATAGTCGTGTTTGTCATCCTCGCTTTTCATTATTCAGTTTGGGTTATTTTTGGAGGAAAAACGAAAATAAAGGCATTCGGATATTGTGTCCGTCATCCGACGGACTTTTAAGTCATAGACAAGACCTCCTTTTAGGACTGTTTTAACATTACACATAATTTTCATAAGTACTTGGGGACAGGACAATTATTTACGTGTTTTTCTGTATACTATGATCATACATATACTATAAATAAAGTGTATTTGCTATTTACTATCATTTATATTATATAGAGTCTCTATATTATGTACAAGTGACCGCCTTGCATAGTAAACTTGGAACTGAATGATAGTAAATAGCAAATATAATTTACTTATAGTACATGTTTGTTCATAGTATAAAGAAAAACGTGAAAATAATTGAAATTAATAGAAAAAAATAACGGACTGTGGAAAAAAGGGAAGGGCTAAAAACTCATCCTACAACAGTTTACATAATTTCAACAATGCTCTAAATGCCTGCAATTTCGCGGGTGTGTTCTAGTAAACTTTGAAATCATAACGGTTCTAAAGATATAGAGCAGACACAGTCTGCGCCATAGGACATGGGGTTATCAACTGAAACCAAAGTTTTTGACCTTGAACTTTGACCTAGGAAGTTGTACAAACATAATGACACTCCCTCTGGTGTTGGTTAACATACATGTCAAGTATAAAGTATGAAAGTACATGTATGAAGTTTCTCTAGACATAGAGCGGACACAATTTGTTAGGTGTGGACACTGGACAAACAGACAGAAAGATGGATGGACTGACTGACTGATCACTATAGGGCAACCCGCCACTAGGCGGAGCCCTAATGATCTTTACAAATTACTACTGTGTAGCATCATCACCTGATATAGGCACTCCAGAAGCAGTTGAAAAAACAAATGGGTAGTCAGGACAAGGTCAAATTCTTCTCATTTTCATAATATTCTACGTTTTGCTGACAAGTAAAGTTTTCTGATACTGATTCCTAATACATGTAACATAGCCATTATTTGGGTCTGATTATGATCCTTTAATGACTTTTTCTCTCTCAAATCTTCAAAATCAGAACTGATGGTACCTGTTCAAAGAAGCATGTAACAAGTTGAAACTCATTTAAACACATTTATCCTTCAACTATTCATTTGAGGTATTTGTAGAACAAAGTTATATTATATTTAAGCTTGAACAATATTGTGACATAATTAGTTTTTATCTATTGTTTTCTGAGAATTTCATGTAAATGAAGTGAATAAATTGTACAGCAAAATGCTTTTTTTTCATCTTTTGCAAAGTTCATATCCTCTTACATTTTTTTTTATTCTTGAACATGCATGAAATATTTGCCACTAGACATTAAGCTACCAACAATCAATCAATTATACAATTCAATAATATCATGTGCACAACTAGTACTGTAATATGTGTTCAATAATTCTGTGAAGTTTAAGGGATCTAAATTTAAAATTGAAGGCAGAATTGTTTACACAAAACAGATCCCTCTTTTGTTAATTTTGCCAAAAATTATAACCAAGTTTGGAAAAAGAGAAAAAATTCCTTTAACAATTCCATAATAGCAAGTGTACAATATTTCCGTCAAGTTTCAATTGCTACACTTTATATTGCTAAATCAACACCGAAAGGGTACTGTCACCTGCATTTGTAAAGATGATTACTGTAAGATCTAAATAATCACTTATTAATTGTGATGTACATGTGAGTATGTTAAAATTGTGTAGACATTTTTAATACACAAAATGTTGTTAAAAAGTAAATGTCAATATTTCAAACCCTAGCAAATTTTTATAAAAAGGAAAAAAACATCTCTCTTACCCCTCCCCCTGAAATTACAATCTGAATAATGAATTAAAATGTTTTCTCACAAAATATGCTTAGAATAATCCTGAAAAGTCACAACATCATCATTTTGAAACCAAAAAAATGCAGCTTTCTTACCTCAGCTTCTGATCCTCATTATCTCTAAAAAAGAAAACATAACATCCATGGCCTTTTCTGACATGGCTGTCAAGTCTCCTGTCTCCTTTTTCACTGGACATCAACTTGCCTTCATACTCAAGTAGAAATTCTCCCTTCATAAAAGCTCTTGTTGTAAAGACCCCTTTTCCTGAAATGAAAACAAATTGCTTATATCTACTTAATACAATAAAATGCTTCGCTGATTGCAGCCTGATATGACTGCAGAAGTCGAAACCTGAACAGCTGGGGCAAGTTTGGACATAAAATTCAAGTTTGATACTGTCTGTTGGATTGTGATCAAATTTTTGACATAATATAGGTTTTTGACACAAAATAGATGTGGTCAAAGATCTTAAAAATCTATTACGCAATACTGTGCTATTGGGTAATATTGTTCAATTGAAAATTTCTTCTTGAAACTTTTCAAAAATTTGAAATTCAAAAATTTTGGAGAAAAAAAATATGAACCCCCCACCCCCCAAAAAAAAATTTGGGAAAAAAAAAAATACCCCAAACTTTTTGACCCCCCTTGGAGTAATTACCCCCAAACTCAACCCCAGCCTTCCATTTGAGTTATGGCACCTTATAGTACAACTTTAGAGAGATCCATACATTTAAACACAAGTTATTGTCTGGAAACTAGAAAAATGCTTGTTTTTGGTCACTTTTTGGCCTCTTAATTCCTACATGTTTGGGGCAATTACCCTCAAACTCAATCCCAGCCTTCCCTTTGTGATATGGAACCTTGTGGTATAATTTCAGAGAGATCCATACACTTACACACAAGTTATTGTCCAGAAACTACAAAAATGCTTGTTTTTTTGCCCCTTTTTAGCCCCCAACTCCTAAATTGTTGGTACCATAACCCCTAAAATCAATCCCAACCTTCCTTTTGTGGTATTTAACCTTCTTGTAAAATTTCATAGAGATCCATTCACTTAAACTAAAGTTATTGTCCAGAAACCAAATGTGTGTCTAGACGACCACGACGACAACCACATCATAGCATTATACAAACCCAAAAATTTTTTTGCTGTCGTATAAAAACTGAAATATTCATGTAGTCTGGTAGTTCCTTCTATATCTAATTATGATATCAGAAAGTGAATAAAACTAAAGGCTGTAAAGGGTATTTGTTGCTCACAGAGGTCTATGTGCATCTTCCACAATGGGGACAAAAAAGTGTAAAAAAAAAAATTGTCATTTAAAGGGAAATAACTCCAATAAAGAGTGATCCGATAATTTCAGGTATGTGAATTATTTGTAGCTCTAGTCTTGCTGATCAATTTTGCTATCCAATTTTCTCTCTATCTACTAGTCTTTTTAAGATTATAGGAAAAAATAAACAAAAATTGGTAATAATTCCTATAAGTCATCTGACAGTTTAGATGAAAATAGACAATAAGTAAATTTTTCCACATTCTGAACATTTTCTCTAATTCGCCACCGGCAGATCACTATTGCTATGTCGAGCTTTCTGAAACAAAAAAAAGATGTGGCATGATTGATACAACTCTCCAGCAGAGGCCAAATGAATTAGAAGGTTAGCATCTATAGGTCACTGTTACATATAATGACCTTCAACAATGGGCAAAGCTCAAAAGCAAGCTTTAAACGTCATCGAAATGAAAAAAGAATTTAAATGAGAAAACTTATTTTCATCATCAGCATTACAGTAACCTTCATACTAAAAGTATAATATAAGTGTATGATGTTAAATTTTAAAATTTAATTTAAAAAATAATATTTATATGCTCGACAAAAACCAAAACACAAAAACTGAATTTTAACCACTGAACTATTAAAATGAAGTCAAGGTCAGATGGCACCTGCCAATTGCAGCAATTTTTCCATTTGTAAAGGGGCATAACTCTAGAACAGCAAAAGTGATGCCACCAACCTTCAAACTCAATCTGTGTTTTGTAGTCGTTAGCATTGTGTATAAGATTCATTACATTTTTTTGAGGCAAACTAAAGTCACGAGAACTGAAACAAAAATTCAGCAATATTCCATTTGTAAAGGGGCATAACTCTAGAACAATAAAAGTTACCCCACCAAAATTCAAACTTTATTTGTGTTTTGTTGTAATAAGCATTGTTTATAGTTTCATAATATTTGGTTGAGGCAATCTTAAGTTAGAGAAAGGAAACCAATTTTGGGGCATACCAACAGACGGACGGAAGAACAAGGGTAAAACTTAATGCCCCCCTGATACGGTGAGGGCATTTGACGCTAACAGTAGTGAAAAAGATACGTTTGATGCTTGACAAAAATTGCCATTCCTACCCTTATTACTATACTATATATAAAAATATTAATTTTCGCGAACCATTTAGGTCACGGAAATTCCAAAAAATCCCTAGAGTAAGGAGAGTTGTACAGATAATGTGAATACACAGAACCCCGATCCAATTCATCTTTTGCTAAAAGTGTTCGTCATTTTCTGTTTTGTATCTACTAACAACCTTCCATTTTTCAATAATTCCTATTTAAGTGTGCAAAAAAACTGCATTAAAAATAGATATTCCCAAAGTTAAAATTCCGCTGATTGGTTGAACTACTGCTAAGATTCACAAACCTAAACTATAAATACATTTCCTCCTTTAAAATGTAATTCCTAAGTGAAGCTACTGTAAAGGTAATATATTAATCCTGATGTAATCTTCAATATTAAATGAAGCTGAAACTGTATATCAGTAGAAGAGAAGACAATGATAGATTGTTAAATGAACGTCTATATAATGTTGTTACATAAAATGCGATATTGAGTAAGGATCTATCCCGCCATAAAAAAAAATCCATTGAAAACAGAGAATATAATCTTTTTGTTTTCAGAAATTCCGTTGAGCATTATTTATATTTAATTTGTATTGTATTTGGGTGCTGTTGACCTTTGTCTTTGAGAGCGCGGTAAGTAACAATCCCATTTCTTAGAAATGTAGACAATGGACAAAAATGTGAACCTTGACGATATGGGTCACTGACTTTTTTCTCTGATTTTTAATACTAGTATCTAACCATTTCATAATTTCTGAATTATCTGTATTTACAATATTTTTGTATTTAACGTGTAATCATGAACATATATCTTCAATTTGTTCAAGTTTATACACGATAAATGGCTATATATGATGATGAAGAATTTGTATGCACACAAGATGGTGGAAAATGAATCTGACATCACTGTACAATCACTTGACATTATTATTTGTAAACAAACGTCGAAAAGAACATGTGTCGTATAATTTCCATATCATTCCAAATTTTGGATTATTTTTACAGATTTTGCAAAAAAATACTGGATTTCCACCTATTTGTCTATCCAAATTTTTGTCTTGAACTAATATGTCCATGAAACTTATTCAATAGACAATACAAAATCAGCAACACATTGAAAATATTATTTCAACAAACATGTTCAATACTTGAAAAAAAATACATGCAGTGAAATTTTTTGGTTAAAATACATTATGGTTGGATATAATTTCTGTATAAATATGCTTTTGGTTGCATATAATTTCTGTATAAATGCTTTTTCCCTTCATAATAGTATTACAAAATGTACATGTATGACAGTATGTATTCTATAAAGTACATGTATTTTTAAAATGCACATTGAGTGGTCCCAAGTAAGGAGTATTATGTTTGTAACACTCAGAAACGTGATGTCTATCCCCCAAACATGTCCTTTGTATGATAATGAACAATAAAACGCTATGTATGAAGCCAAAACGTATCCCTGCACTATTAAAGTTCATCAAGTGTCTTCGTGATCGTCAAAATGAACTAGAAATAAATAATGTTTGTTCCAAAAGGTACTTAATAACATTTGTGTCATTTCTCTAATGATTATCAATTATAAGCATTTAATTTGCGAAAATGATTCGCTGCATTGAAGACCCATTGGTGGCCTTTGGCTGTTATCTGCTCTTTGGTCGGGTTGTTGTCTCTTTGACATATTCCCCATTTTCATTCTCAATTTTATTTTTTACAGAGATTATCTTTAGTGCCGTATGGAGACAGTAGAGTGTCTCCCCATGTTTCAGGTTTATGCTATTATAATATACTAGATAATGGAGTGTGTGTCTGAGCGAGAACATCTCTATGTTCATTACTTTAGGAATATTTATTTAAAACACAGATTTCACTATTCAGCCCCATTAGGGGCCAGCTGAGGCCCACCTCTGGGTGGGGGATTTTCTAGCTGCATTGAAGACCCATTGGTGGCCTTCCGCGGCTATCTGCTCTTTGGTCGGGTTGTTGTCTCTTTGACGTATTCCCCATTTCTATTTCCAATTTAATTTTTACAGAGTTTGTCTTTAGTGCTGTGTGGAGACAGTAGGGTGCCTCTCCGTGCTTCAGGTTTATGCTATTATAATATACTAGATAATGGAGTGTGTGTCTGAGCGAGAACATCTCTATGTTCATTACTTTAGAAATATTTATTCAAAACACAGATTTCACTATTCAGCCCCATTAGGGGCCATCTGAGGCCCACCTATAAGTGTGGGATTTTCTCGCTGCATTGAAGACCCATTGGTGGCCTTCCGATGTTGTCTGCTCTTTGGTTGGGTTGTTGTCTCTTTGACATATTCCCCATTTCCATTCTCAATTTTATTATTTTAGCTTCTTTTTGATAGCTGAGGGATAGTTATGATAACTAGACTCAGCTAGTGTTATCAGGAAGCGTTCCTTGGACGCACGGGTTCATGCATAGATCATTCAGACAGAAAACCATGCGTCCAGGGTGACTATACGTGCCTTAACAAGAATATTGTTAGTATGACAAACACAGGTTTCCTCTCCATATGACTAATCAACGGTGGAACAATAAAATCAGTTGTAACAGTGAAACACCAAATCAAATATATAGTTGAATAGCATTGGAAACCAAAAGTTACAATAAGGGACAACCAATGACCAGATACTTTTATGTAAATACAATTAAACAAAAACATTCAAGTATCAAGTGTAGTACAACATTGTCATTTATTTATCTGATGTTGCAGGATCATTTAAATTGAGTGTGATCTCAGTCATTAAACCACCCCTGGGGATATCCTTAACTTGGTCGTTCCAGTCAAGGTTTAAGGTATCTTAATCCAACTTTTTTTTTTTTTTTTTATTTTTTTTAAAGTAGGTCTGGC